ATGTTATGGATTTATTGGAACTATCGTGTGTTTGTTATAGTCATGTTTAAAATGAAAGCGTTGCTTGGTCCTGACAGACTTGACATTTGGCCACTTGGTTTTGCTGGCAGAAACAGGTGTTCATGTTGCATGTGACAACCTGATTCCTCAAGAAAAACATTAAAATTGATTGAGGTAGTTGTGATTAAAATGTGTATTGTCATTTAAATTACACATTTAATTAGACTCTCAATTTTGTTTTTGCTGTGACGTTTTAGATTACATAATAAGGAATTTTTTTCTGAAATCAATTAATTCATTTGTAGTTTATGAGCACTATGTAGATTATCGTACTATGCAAACATCTTGAGCATTTTTCTGGCAATCTTCCATTCTTCGCCCTATTAATTATACATCTGGGCTCAATGGCGATCCATCTCAAGTAACGCCAAGCTGGAGAAGTAGAACTGCTCACCACTGCTGGGAACTTCCCAACACTCATGCTGCTGCTGTCCTATTTCAAACCCAGCTGCACACCAGTTCACATACTGCAACCCAGGACTGGTTGTCACACAGTGGTACTTGAGCATCTACATTCAGGACATTGCCCAGAAAGTGAAGTTAACTCCTCAGTTCTCCAGCAGGGACCTGGAGAAGAGCAGGGTGTTGGAGAGGAGGCTGGTACTCTGTCATGCTGATTGGCAAGAGAAGCCATGCCATCAAACCCAGAGAGCAGCCCAGGTCTGAATTGTGTCTTGGGTAAAATACAATGCACAGCAGTACAGAAAGAAGCTGAATATCCTTCTGCACTCCATATGAGTAAGTGCTGATATTTTTTCTCTGCTATCTTCACTCTCACAAGGCCACCACTCTAACTCTGTCATTGGGGATGCCTCTCACCAAAGTTCATGCATCTCATAGCTACATTTCTTAATGCTCACTCACTTTGCACTTTCTTGGAGCCTGCGATCCCTGTGACCTGCATTGATTTTAGTGCAGAGAGGGGAGAGAGGCAGTTTGTCACAGTGGGGTGCACTGAATAATCAAGAGAGTAGGCATATTGCTGTATAGCTGCATTAATGTGACACCCACTCCATGTACTAGAAGTTGACATGGCGAATACACTGCATGTGCATCAAGTAAATGGCCATGTTGGAAAGTCAAAAGGACCAGTCTTTAACGAGGTCACGGACAATTATAGTGAGTCAGGAGGTACATTCGCACTCACCATGGGCTCGTCTGTTTCCAGTCCAGGAATTTCCCCACTGTCAGTCAGGTGCTTGGTACTACCAGAGTCTGGGAATTGTGGAATCGTGTCTTTGTGGCCCATGGAATGGGTCACAGTTAATCTTGAAAGTCAGATACAACCAATCTGGAAATCACAGGGAGGTCATTCAGCGGTTATGATGCTGTCAGTCCAGTATGTGGCCCAAATCTTCTTTCAATAAGACAAAGGGTGGGGTAGAGTACGATGGAAGTGAATGGAAGAGCAGTTAGAGGTGATGTACATGCAGGAGAGTTGATAAGGTATCCTGTTGAGGGAACAGGAAGTGCAGAGCCATAGAAGGGTTCGTAGTTTTGGGGATATGAGCTAAGGGGTGTTTGGAATAATGAGAGCTATAGTCAATCAGCTTGGGTGAGAGGCATGTTCAATTTCAGGATTAGAGTGAACAGGGCCTATGAGTGTGAAGTAGACGCAGTGTTATCGTTCACTAGCGGCTTCAGTAGGATGTAACAAATATTCTGAGCTAAGTGATTAAAATTAATACATTTACTGGTGGGAGATATATATTAAGCGGCGATGAGTGTATTGAGTGGTAAATTAATATATTGAGCTTTAAATATATGTTAGCAGTAGATAAATATGTACATACATATAATCATTAAATATATATAAGACAGTAAATGTATTTTGACAAGAAGTCTCACAACCTTTTGCCTGATGGGGACCCCGCTTTGTGACTGCTGGTTTGGAGAACTCACGGTTCGTGATCCCGGTCCAAGATGAAGTCCAACAGCATGTCACGCAGATGTTGAGTTAGCAACAAGTCTCACAACCTTCTTACAGTCACAAATCCCGGCCAAGATGAAGTCCACTGAATTGGGCAAAGCCCTTGATTTTAGTACTAGTCTGAATTGAAGATTACATGCTGTATCATCATTTTGTGGTACTTTCAGTACTTATTCCAGATATTCTATCATACAGAAAAACATCTCCAGGTGGCTCCATGTGACAGCCCAGCAGGACAATCTCACAGACAGTTTGGTATTATGTGGTCATCTCTCAGTCGAAACAGGCTGTTTCATCTTAGGCCTGTTTTCCACGTACTTTTCCACTTTATTTCAAATGCTCATTGTCATGTCTGTTTAACCCTTAATAATGAGCACTTAATAATCTGTTCTGAAGATATCATTTTTGATCCTTCCACTACAAGTGGGACGATGGTGGCACTTGCCCTCGCACAGTGCAGAAAATCATTAACCTTCACCCTGCACCGCAGTACATTGTGTTTCATCTGGGACACTGCACTGACTAGGGCAAATTTCTCAATTCAGACTGACTTAAATCTTCTGGCATAGCCTCCTTTGCTGGTCAGCGGGAATACACACTAACCTCCTCTCTGTTATCATGTCCATCATCAGCACTATGTCTCTGTCGGTGAACCAAAGAGTTAACTTGCCTTTCTCAGTCCTTACCTTCAGGAGAACAATATAGGATCACAATGTGAAGGGTTTGCAGTGCCTGAAACATTGTGGAATTGCTATCTAAATATAGCACTAGTGGTGTGAACATATCAAAATCCCAGCAGCAGTGAGCCTCTCCTGCTATGCGTTTCCATGAGACAGGCACCGTAGAGGCCAGCTGCATAATTAATAAGGAGAAGAGCAGAAGATTGCATGAGAAGAGTCACCATGGGCCATGAATCTCACTTAAAAAAACCCACTTTGCTTAAAAATGGGAAATTCAGCTCAATGCTTTGAAAATTCCAGAAATAACTCAATTATTTTCCAAAAGCAACTCTTTCTCCACAATTTACCTCACTGTATCAATTCCCTTTTCATGACTGACTGAATAAACTAAGTACGGTCGGTGTTTAAGTTCTCGTTCTGAGGGCAAATTCATATAATATTCAACTAAATAGTACTTATTGGCCCAGGTTGCCACCAATGATAATTCACCATTTGATAGTAATAACATATTTGTGAATCCTTATTAACTATTAATTAATTGTGCATTATTATAGCCTAAAGTGCATTGTAGGATAATTCTGCTTCAGGTATTTCAACAGTTAGCTTTACAAGTAATTTCCTATGCGAATTTCTTTAGTTATATCACAGACTTTCTTCCTGATTTCTATATCCATGTCATCCCCCTGACTAGAGAACACCAACCCTAAGTATTCATTTAGAACCCTACATAGATTGTCTGGTTTGTACACAAATGGTGGTCCTTAATGGGCTCAACTCTTTCCCTCGTTATCCTTTTACCCTTATGTACCTGTAAAACAATATAGGATTTTCCTCTATTTTACCTACTAGTATCCTTTCACCACATTTTAGCTGTCCTAATCTTTTTCTTTTAAGATTCACTCTTCCACATTCTGTATTCCTCTAGGCTTCTACTGTTTTGAACTCTCAGTACTGCACTAAACCTTCCTTTTTCTCTCAATCCAGTGCTGTATATCCCTTGATATCCAATGTTCACAGGGTTTGATGGTCCCACCGTTTTTCTTTATTGGAATATTTTGGCCCTGTACGCTCCATATTTACTTTCTGAATGCATCTGCCTGAGACATATTTACAGCCGTCTCTGCCCAAATTATATCTTATCTTATTAAAATCAACCTTTCCCCAGTTGAGAACCTTAATTACAGGCCAATCCTTGTCCTATTCTGTGCCTGATCAGAGGATTGAACATTCAGAAGGGAAGGCCACTGAAAACCATTCCTGCTGTTGCTTTTAAACCCCTATGGTCTCCATTCCATGAGACCTCCACCTACCCCACAAAAGAAATCACCTCTTCTGTGGTCACTCCATCAGTCTGGGAGTCCTGGACCAACAAGATCCAGGGCCTCATCCCTGGTTGCTGAGTGTTAGAGCCACCAGTCTCTGAATGGTCAGCAATTAGGTGCTTGATTACAAGAAGGTCAAGTGCACTTTCAGAACCTAACAGGGCATGGGTTTCTTTCTGCTAACTCTCTCACTTTTGGACTCATTTGAAGGTGGGGACATAGTGTCCAAAAACAGAAAACTCTGGAAATACTCAGTAGAATAGGCAGCATCAATGTATTTAGAAGCAGGATTATAGTTTAAGATCTGAGGGCACATTGATCTGAATTATTAATTTTGGCTTCTGTATCCATGGATGCTGTTTGCCTTACTGAGTATTTCCAGTATTTTATGCTTTGTTTCCTTTCTGTTATTTGAAACAGCACATATTTTAATTTTTTCGCAAGAATAATCGTTTAAAGATGTTATTTTCAAAGTTTCTCCTTCTGACACAAAAAAAGTGAAATTATGTTGCCCAAAACAAAATCCGTCTGTGTGCTTCTGTAAATGTCTGCCCATTAATGTCTAACTATGAACAGTATTAACCTAAGCTGCATGGTCCAAGAGCATGTTTTCTTACCAATCGGTACTGGAAGGATATACCAAACAATTAATTAGACGTATAGTGTATTGCTCAGTGGCATAAATGTAGATTGTCCTGTTGTGCACCATCCCAGATACTACATAAGGTACTTTTAGTTCATCAAAAATTTGAGCCATCATTAAAACTAATTCTTGCAGTGAATGTGAGTAAGGAGTCTTAGGAAATTAATCCGATTACTAACATCACTTTATTATTGTTATTCCACATCCTCTGCCTCTGAAGAAGATTAAATATTCTATTGACAATTTTATATTTCACCCTTTCCCAGAATAATCTGCTGATGATAATTAATTTAAACACAAAAGATTTAATTATATTTTTTGCTGTTTTCCTGTTTCTTTTTTATATTTTTCTGTTTTCTTTTAGAATGTCTTCCTTTGAACAGTTTAATCCAGAATTTTACCAATCAAATTATGATATTAATGACCAGCAGCAAACTTCCTATAACTATGGAGGTAGCAGTGGTCCTGATTCAAGTAGGTAAGGAAATTTATGCGGTTAAATATTATGTAGTTAATGGGTCCTTGTCAGGTTTGTACACATTGCGAACTTCCTCACACCTTTCTTCATCTAACCCATCAACATTAATCCTCCCTCAACAAAATTGCTGGAGAAACTCAGCAGGTCTGGCAACATCTGTGGGTTCACTCAACTTGGAATGTTAACAATGTTTTCTTTCCACAGATGCTGCCAGACCTGCTGAGTTTCTCTAGCAATTGCTGTTTTTGTTTCAGATTTCCAGCCTCCGCAGTTCTTTATTTTATTCTAACATTAACTTTCTATTCTTTCTCCCTCTTTTGCTTATCTAACTTCCCCTTAAATGCAAACACACCATTTTCATTGATTACTCCTTGAGTTACTGAATTCCAAATGTTAATTGCCTACTGAAGTCTCTCCTGAATTCCTAATTTGATTTTTTTGGTGTCTATCTTCTAGTTATGGTGACTAATTTTGGTCTCTTCCACAAAAAATTCTTCTGTAATCTTAAAAGACCTCCTCCACTTGTGTTACTGTGGTAACATATTTTGATTTCAGTTACAAATCTAATTTGTGATAAAGCCTTCTGAAAATCCAAACTTACCACTACAACTGCAAAACTGTTTTTGAGGTTCCTCATCAAGAATAATGAATCAATGTACATGTCCATTCTCTAAAATAACTTTCATGATGTAATTTCATTGAGAAAGATAAAAAAGAAATTGACTGGTTGATGGATTTATTGTTATCATAAGTACTGGAATACAGTGAAAAGTATTAGTTTGCACGCTATACAGGGAGATCATACCATACAAAGTGCATCAGGGTAGATTTTAGATTTAAATTTAGGTTTAATTTCTATTGTCACATGTACTCAAATATGGGGTACAAGAGTACAGTGCAAAGTGTATAATGTCACCAAATACGGTGCCATTTTAGGTACAAAGTACCTCGGTACAAAATCTTACTGAAAGAAATAGAAAAACAAAGTAACAGAACAGAGAGCAGAATATAGTGCTACAGCCACAGAGAAGGTGCAGCAAGCGAGGTCAGAATTAACACTTGAGAGATCCATTCAAAAATCTAATAACAATGGAGAAAAAGCTGTTCTTGAATCAATTTGTTTATGTATTCAAACTTTTATATCTTCTGCTTGACGGAAAAGGGTGGAAGAGAGTACA